GACAGCGCTGGCCCCCGGCCTCTTAAGCGAGATGGGCGCGCAACCCCAGAGTCGGACACGACTGGCCCGTACGGGCAGGGGTACCTTTACCTTACCTAGCTCTGAGAAGTGAGAGAACACGACAAATCCCATATTGTGAAAAACTCAACTGAATCCCCATGCCATGCTGAGTGAGAGAAGACAGCATGTCCCCACCCACCCGTGGTTAGGATGCCTTGGCATAAAATCACAGAACTGTAGAGTTGGAAGGGACCATGAGGGTCACTGTGAGCCAGTGTGGTGTAGTGGTTCAGAGCGGTGGACTCGTAATCTGGTGAACTGGGTTCGATTCCCCGCTCCTCCACATGCAGCTGCCGGGTGACCTTGGGCTAGTCACACTTCTTGAAGTCTCTCAGCCCCAGTCACCTCACAGAGTGTTTGTTGTGGGGGAGGAAGGGAAAGGAGAATGTTAGCTGCTTTGAGGCTCCTTCGGGTAGTGATAAAGCGGGATATCAAATCCTAACTCCTCCTCCTCCTCATGTAGTCTATGTAGGAATCCTTTTGCCCAGCGTAGTGCATGACCCTGAGATTATGAGTCTCATGGCCTACCAACCTCTAGCCAGACTCACTATTCTGTGTCCAAACCACTGGCCACTTCTGGATTTGTCCATGGTCCACCGAAACCTGTTCCTCTGTCTGCAACCCACTGGCCCCTCCTGTTGTGTGGAACTCATAGATACCTTAGAACTTTGTCTCACTGTGTACTTCCTGGTCTGATCCCACCCCCAGCCAGGGCAAGTTGCTCAGTCACTCACCAATCCTTCACCACAATCGTGGGCCTGCCCTCATCCATCAGCTCGTCCCAGTAGCCTTCGTCCTTTAAAGTGATGAGCTGAGACTTGACGCAGAGCCTGAGGCACAAAATGGGAAAGCCATCAAAAACCACCCTGAGAGTTTGGACAACGCTGCTTTCAATACATGCTTTGCACACCTATTGGGTTGGCTGTTGCAGGAAGCAGAATGTCAGATGATACCCACATTCACACCATTATAAACACTCTGATGCCACCTTAGCCAGTCATGGCTTCTTCCCCCAAAGAATTCTGGGAGATGTAGTTTGTTAAAGGTGCTGAGAGTTGTTACCAGACCCCTGTTCCCCTCACAGAACTACCATGCCCAGAGCTCCCTGGGAAAAGAGGGGTTGACGGTTAAGCCACTGTGGGAATTGTAGCTCTGTTTGGGGAATAGGGGGTCTCTTCACAACTCTCAGCTCCCTTAAACTACAGCTCCCAGAATTCTTTGGGGGAAGCCATGACTTACTGAAGTGACATCAGAGTGTAATGTGTGAATGCGGCTTATATGGGGCTTTACCCTAATCCTGCAAGGTTCCTACAGTTGTAAGCTTTAAAGAGGGGATGGACAACTTTGGGCCTTTTAGTTCTTGCTTGACACACACACATCCAACTCCCAACATTCCTGACCACTGGGCATGCTGGCTGGGGCAGAGGAAAAATGGAGCCCAACAACATCTGAGGAGTCCCCCCCCCCAAAAAAAATTAAAACCCTGGTGTAGAGTTATCCCCTTCTGTGATTACAGTGGTACCTTGGCTCCCAAACATAATCTGTTCCAGACGTCTGTTCCAAAACCAAAGCGTTCTAAAACCAAGGCATGCTTTCCCATAGATAGTAATGCAAAATGGATTAATCTGTTCCAAACTTTCAAAAACAACTCCTAAAACAGCAATTTATCATGAATTTTACTATCAAAAAGACCACTGATCGATAAAATGAAAGTATCAATGTACTGTACTATAAAATAAATAAGACAGTATTGTAGATGATAAAAAAACTAAAAAAAAAAACCCTTACGTGCACTGATGATAGTCATTGTTTGGATGGGGGGCTTTTATCCATTTCTGCAGTCACACAGTCAGTAGCTGAACTGGGTTCCACACAATCACAAAAATGAAGTCATAAGCCACAGCCACAAGTCAGTCCCATAAAACGAAGAACAAGTCGCAGTCAAAAAACCAAAAAAGCCACACAAACAAAAGAGAAAAAAATAGCAAAAACAAAAGCTCCGAATATCACCTCTGTGTTGCATTGGTGCTCGGAACTCAACAGCCAGCAGACTCAACAGGAAGCCTCTGATTAGCAGCGGGGGACTCAATTTACAAATGGAACACACTCAACAGGAAGCAGAACATGTTCCTCTTCCAAGGCAACGTTCACAAACCAGAACACCTACTTCTCAGCTTGCAGCGTTCTATTTCCAAGTTGTTCATAAACTAAGCTGTTCTAAAACCAACGTACCACTGTATTGTATTTGAAGAGGAGGTACTATCTCCTGGATAGCCCAGTTGGTTAGAGTGTGGTAACACAAAGGTTGAAGCCAATCTAAGTTAGTAATGAGCATTCATTTCAGTGGGTCAGCTGCATATTCCTGCATTGCAGGGGGGTTGGACTAGATGATCCTCAGGGTGCCTTCCAGTTCTTATGATTCTATGATCTACATGCATGAATTATGGCTCAGCCACCGCTGTGATCCTCACCGACCGTAGGCAGCGAAGCATTTGTTAACCTCTTGATAAGGGATGGCGTCATCTTTCACATAGAAATGCCTCTGAAGGAAATCCCACTTCTGGAGTTTTGAGGAATCCGCTTCTGACATTTCTTTAGTTTTCCACTGGCCCCTTGGAGATGTTTGGGTTTCCCAGAAGTCCAAGCCCTCTGGGAGAAAAAAATGAGAACGTAAGAGCAATAAGATGGGCCAATGGCCCATCTAGTCCAATATCCTTTCTCGCCACAATCCCATAGTCTCCTTAGACTGGAGTTAACCATCCAGGGGTCCTTTACCTTTACCTTTAAGAGAGATGTGCAGCTCTACAGTTGCCCCAGGTCTGGGGTTTCTGCCCACTGCTATGTATATTTGCTAACTTTGTGTCCTTTTAAATTGCCCTTTTTCTGTCTCCATTCAAATCCACTCAAATGTGTCCGTATCTGAATATTTGGGGGGAAATGGGAACTTATAGCTGCATTCTCTCTACTGCCTGTTCATAAGATTTTACTTATCTCCAATCTTGCTACCAGCCTAAACTCCCCCCCCCCCCACATATCTTTGTTGTTGTTGTTGTTTAGTCGTTTAGTCGTGTCCGACACTTCGTGACCCCATGGACCAGAGCACGCCAGGCACTTCTGTCTTCCACTGCCTCCCACAGTTTAGTCAAACTCAAGAACACTGTCCAACCATCTCGTCCTCTGTCGTCCCCTTCTCTTTGTGCCCACTATCTTTCCCAACATCAGGGTCTTTTCCAGGGAGTCTTCTCTTCTCATGAGGTGGCCAAAGTATTGGAGCCTCAGCTTCATGATCTTATCCTTCCAGTGAGCATGGAGGGCTGATTTCCTTAAGAATGGATAGGTTTGATCTTCTTGCAGTCCATGGGACTCTCAAGAGTCACCTCCAGCAACATAATTCAAAAGCATCAATTCTTCAGCGATCAGCCTTCTTTATGATCCAGCTCTCACTTCCATACATCACTACTGGGAAAACCATAGCTTTTACTATATGGGCCTTTGTTGGCAAGGTGATGTCTCTACTTTTTAAGATGCTGTCTAGGTTTGTCATTGCTTTTCTCCCAAGAAGCAGGCGTCTTTTAATTTCATGGCTTCTGTCACCATCTGCAGTGATCATGGAGCCCAAGAAAGTGAAATCTCTCACTGCCTCAATTTCTTCCCCTTCTCTTTGCCAGGAGGTGATGGGCCCAGTGGCCATTATCTAGAAACCCCAAAATTTCTCATTCAGAAATATAATGCAGTCCAGCTAACCTTTTTTTGAACACAGACATTTCAATATTCCACTATGTAATAATAACAACTGTGGACATAAAGGTAAAAGATAAAAGACCCCTGGACAGTTAAGTCCAGTCAAAGGCAACTATGGGGTGTGATGCTCATCTCGCTTCAGGCCAAAGGAGCCGGTGTTTGTCCACAAACAGCTTTCCAGATCTTGGGGCCAGCCTGACTAAACTGCTTCTGGTGCAACGGGACACTGTGACAGAAACCAGAGCGCAGTGTTTATCTTCCCACAGCAGTATCTACTTATCTACTTGCACTGGCGTGCTTTCAAACTGCTAGGTTGGCAGGAGCTGGGACAGAGCAATGGGAGTTTACCCCATCGTGGGGATTCAAACCACTGACCTTCTGATCAGCAAGCCCAAGAGGCTCAGTGGTTTAGACCACAGCGCCACCCGCATACTAGTCCACTGCTGACTGGTGCCCACTGGGATTGATAGGGTGGAAGGCAGGGAGCCCAACAGTAGGTGGCGCTAGACCCAATGGCAGGCAGAGCCAACTGATTCCAGCTTTGTCCTCATCCCCCACCTTGCTGAATTCTACAGGGATTAAGGTGGAGGAAATTAACAGGCAGTGCTACCCCATGGACTGGGCGCAAGTAAGAAGGCAGGACAAGCAAGGGCTACCTGAGGGCAGACTGAGACTGGGAGTCTACCCTAATGAACCAGACTCCAGTGGTCTTAGATGCCTCCTTTCCACAGGCAAGGAGATTATCTGATGGAGGGGAGAATCCAAACATGTGGTCTCCCACCAACCAGCAGGCCAGGTATAGGCAAGCTTTGGCCTTCCAGACATTGCAGAACCACTGGCCATGCTTGTTGGGGCTGGTGGGAGTTGTAGTTCAGCAACATCTGCAGGGTCAAAGCTTTCCCAATACCAGATTCTTTGAGAAAGACATTCAGAAAAAAAGAAAGAAAAGGCCAAAAGGGCCACACCTTCTCCACAAGGATTCTTGATCAAGTTCCTCTCCAGGTGAGAAAAAACATAGAACTCTTTGGTCTTCTTCAAGTTCTCATTTTTATGGCGGTATTTGCTCCTCCAGAGGATGGGCAAGTCCACCAGGTCTCTCCACCGGGAGCAGACCAGCCGGCAGCTGAGAATCAGCTCGTTCATAGGAATCAGCGACAAGATGTCCAGCATGACGTGGTCTGGCAAGTTGCCAATGTTCGTCATCTCCCTTCAAGGGCCTGCGAAGAAGAAAAACAAAACAGAACCATAAAAGGGAAGAGGGTCACATGAAGTCCATTTGCAGGAAGCAGATGCCAATCTCATGAGCATCCTTGACGTGGAAGCTGTCTCCAAGCGTCAGAGGCCTTCAGAAGCAAAAGGAGAAGAGCAGGTGCAGGTGGTCCCCGGTTCAGACTTTTTTGCCTCTGCTGCATAGGTGGGCCATAGATCTGTGTGGTGAATCTTCTGCAGCATGAGGGCCACATTCCTTTCTAGGGAGTCTCCCGGGGGCCAATGGTGGGTGGGGCCAGAAGCAAAATAGGGCAGAGCAGCAAATATTAATTTGGAACTTTTTGTACAGCAGAGGAGCTCACACACTTCTTTGTCCTCCATCCAGGCAAGCCAGATGCAGGATCTGAGTTCAAGAACACATTCAGGCCAGGCAAAAACTCTTAAGGAAGGTATGAAATAAGGCTGGTGATGGGCAAAGCCTGGGAAGAGAGGATTTGCCTGCGGGTTCCCCATCCCTATCCCTCTCTGCTTCTTATAGGAGCACAGGAAACTGCCTTATACAGAGTCAGGCCAGCTGGTCCATCTGGCTCAGTATTGTCTACACTGACTGGCAGCGGCTCTCCAGTGCTTCAGGCAGAGGATAGTCCCAACCCAACCTGGAGATGCTGGGAACTGAACCTAGCACTTTCTGTACACTCTACTACTGTGGTCTTTTCCCTAAAAACAAAGTAAGATTCTAGTCCTCATGGTTCCAAATTACGGCTACATTAAATAGGAACTTTATTATACTGAGTCAGAACAGTGGCCCACTTGGCTTAGTATTGTCTACACTGACTGGCAAGATTTTGGGCAGAAGTCTCCCAATTGTAACTGGAGATGCTGGGGACTTTTGTATGCAAGGCAGATCTCTGAGCTATGGCCCTTTGCGATGGGGAGGTTTAAGGGGAGACAAGAAGGGCCTTTCTAGATCAGACCACAAAGGGCCATCTTATGCAGCATCCTGTGACCCTTTGGGGGGGGCAGGCAAACCAGGTCCCACCAGGAAGCCCACAACAGGGCATGATGCCAGCAGCCCCCACTCCACTCACTGAGTGGTATTCTCAGATTCCGAAATCCAGAGGTTGCATATAGGAACTGGGCTGCCTCGCAGGGTTGTCGCCGGGGGCATAAAAGAACATTCTGTGCAAACCCTAATAAGCATGATACAATACTGGGTAGCTCAGTTGGTTAGAAGTGTGGCACTGATAACGCCAAGGTCGCAGGTTCAATCCCCATGTGGGACAGCTTTATTCCTGCATTGCAGAAGTTGGACTAGAGAGGGTCCTCAGAACCCTAAGATTCTATGAGCAAGAAAATTCTCCAGTTTCAGTTCCTGCTCTCTCGCATTGACCTGAGGCCATGAGCATGTTGGAAGAGTGGCACTCTGCACATGTTCAGGGGCATCCTCTTTCACCACCCCCTGCTACCGAACAGCTCCCAAGCTTTCTTAGGACCACTGCCCAACTAACTCCCTTTTTGCTGATCCTACCCAAGACTTTGGTGGGTTAAACCACAGAGCCTAGGACTTGCTGATCAGAAGGTCGGCAGTTTGAATCCCCGCGACGGGGTGAGCTCCCGTTGCTCGGTCCCTGCTCCTGCCAACCTAGCAGTTCGAAAGCAGGTCAAAACGCAAGTAGATAAATAGGTACCGCTCTGGCGGGAAGGTAAACGGCGTTTCCCTGCGCTGATCTAGGTTCACCAGAAGTGGCTTGGTCATGCTGGCCACATGACCCGGAAGCTGTACGCGGCTCCCTCGGCCAGTAAAGTGAGATGAGCGCCGCAACCCCAGAGTCGGCCACGACTGGACCTAATGGACCTTTACCTTTTACCTTTACCCAAGACTTAAGACGTCCCCCCACTCCAGCCAGGCGCGCCTTACCCTCAAAGGACCGCCTTTGGGGGCGTTTACCTGGACTAGGAAGCGAGCAGGATCCAGCTGGGAAAGATGAGCAGTCTCTGCCCCGCTCGGCTTCCGAAGGCAGGCAGGCAGGCAGGACAAGTGGGAAGAAGCTGAGAACCAGGAACCGTTCCCCCTTCACCCCGCTGCTGCTTTGCCTCCTCCGGGGAGGGGAAGGGCGGACTACGCAGGCGGCGCCTCCCCCTCCGTGGGCGGTCCGGAGATGGGAATCCCGGGCAAGGCGATGACGCGCGTCTGCTGTCCTCACGCAGCTCCTTGCAGATACGGTCCTCCTGCAGTCCAACGCGCGAGGTGTGACGTTAACTAGGAAGTTAAATCCCACGACGGACTTCGGGTCTTAGCCTCGTGTCAGAAGAGCGCAGCTTCTTGATCTTCTTGCTCTTTTTTTTAATGTATTTTTATTACAGATTTTCTTGGTTTACAAAAGTATGTGCAATGTCTCTCTCTCTCTCTCTCTCCTTTTTTCCCCCCAAGTAACATTTTTAACAGATCAGTTTTGTTTGTTGAGACATTAGAAAGAAAAGGGGGAGAGAGGTGGACATTTTCTTGCTTTTATGTTTTAAATTACGAAAGGGTTCATAGGTTCTCAAGGAATGTGGCGTGGGGAGGAGGATGGCAAGTGGGGCGGGAAGATCCAAGGACAAATCAAAGAAACATTTGGACATTTCTGCCAACCCAGTGCCGGATTTACGTCTAAGCTAAACAAGCTATACCTTAGGGCCCCACTCTCTTGGAGGCCCCAAAGAATTTAAAGGGGGGGGGACTGGATGTACATTTCCAAAATATAAGATAAAAAACAAAAAATGGCTTTAGATACCTATTAGGTCCATAAATTACCATATAGCATGTATCCAACACAAAAAACCAGCGACCATTTGTTGTTGACAAAGGACAGCTGGACATATAAAGGGGCCCATTACCTTCAGTAGCTTAGGGCCTCATCAAGTCCGGAAAGATGGCGTTGGTTCAGAAAGCAGAAAGCAGGGGAAAAAAACAGCCATGGTGCATCTGCAGCAGCACAACTAGGTGCCGACCTTTAAAGCCCTAAACAGCCTTGGCCCAGTATACCTGAAGGAGCGTCTCCACCCCCATTGTTCAGCACGGACACTGAGGTCCAGCACTGAGGGCCTTCTGGCGGTTCCCTCACTGTGAGATGTGAGGTTACAAGGAACCAGGCAGAGGGCCTTCTCAGTGGTGGCGCCCGCCCTGTGGAACGCCCTCCCTTCAGATGTCAAGGAAATAAACAACTATCTGACTTTTAGAAGACATCTGAAGGCGGTCCTGTTTAGGGAAGTTTTTAATGTTTGATGTTTTATTCTGTTTAATATTCTGTTGGGAGCCGCCCAGAGTGGCTGGGGAAACCCAGCCAGATGGGTGGGGTATGTATGTATGTATTATTATTATTATTAATTAATTTTTATAATTTATATTTTATTTTTATTATTATTATTCCTTCACCTGCCTTCATTTGGCATTGGTCTCTGCAGCCACAGCAGACGCTGCAACCTCCCAACAGTTTGACTTCACTCCCAAAGGCACATTCCACCATTGTTTCCGAGGCAGATGGATGCCAACAACATTCTCCTGTTGCCTTCCCTTCCTGTATTTTAATTTCTATTTATTGAATTTGATATCCCACCTTTTTCTCCAAGGAGTTCCAGGTGCCTTGCATGGTTCTTCCCCTCCTCATTTAATCCCCCCATTAAGAACCCTGCAAGGTAGGTTAGGCCAGGAATCCATGACTGGCCCAAAATCACCCAGTGAGCCTCATGGCAAAGTGGGGGGGGGGCAGAATTTGAACCCGGCATCTCCCAAGGCCCTAGTCTGACACTCTGACCATTTTGCCACATTTCAATATATATATTGATATGTGTCCTACCTCAAAAAGCAGGAGGCCGTACAGACATGTGGCAACAGCAACAGATCACAAAAATAATTAAAAATGCATTTATTCTGCGGTACCAAAAAATACCTTGTAAGAGTCTCACTCGCACAAGAACAAGTAAAAAAACAATTGGCCCAGCCAAAGAAGGGGTGTGCTTTCTGTTCTCTCCTGCTTCAAAGGGAATTCAGCAAATCAGTTCCGTTGACCAACAGTGTAAGTAAACTTAAGGGTGATGCTGGTGTTAGTTATGCGCACACCCTTATGGTTACGTTCGTTGACATTTTGGCCTCGGTGTTCAAAGTAGATGTAGCGGACACCAGGAGGGCAGCCAAAGATGGAGTAACAAACCTACAGGATTGGGGGGGGGGAGAGAAAGATGGGTGGTGATTTGGGTAAAGTTTCATTTATGCATTATTATTCCTTGCCTGTCCCTTCATCAAAATGTCCCATAGGGAAGGCTGTTGCAGCATTTATTTCAAAATACAGTTGTACCTCAGTTTCCAAACATAATCTGTTCCGGAAGACCGTTCGAGTTCTGAAACGTTCGAAAACAGAGGCGCAAAGGAAAGTCTGCAAATTTAATAAACAAAATTGAGAAAAATAACATACAGTGGTATCTCGGCATGTTTGACTTCCGAGGTGTGTTTGAAAACCGAAGCATTTACTTTCAGGGTTTATGGCGTTCAAAAACGGAAAAGCTTTGTCAACAGAGACGTTCAGAAACCAAGGTACCACTGTAATTTTCAAAATAAGATTTGCAAATGCAAAAATAAAATTTGTCTAGAGTACATAATAAGGGACGCGGGTGGCACTGTGGTCTCTAAACCACTGAGCCTAGGGCCTGCCTAGGGGGAAGGTCGGTGGTTCGAACCCCCGCGACGAGGTGAGCTCCCGTTGCTTGGTCTCAGCTCCTGCCAAGCTAGCAGATCAAAAGCACATCAAAGTGCAAGTAGATAAATAGGTACCACTCTGGCGGGAAGGTAAACAGTGTTTCCGTGCACTGCTCTGGTTTCGCCAGAGTCATGCTGGCCACATGACCCGGAAAAACTGCCTGCGGACAAACGTCGGCTCCCTCAACCAGTAAAGCGAGATGAGTGCCGCAACCCCAAAGTTGTTCATGACTGGACTTAACTGTCAGGGGTCCTTTACCTTTACCTTTAGAGTACGTAATAAAAACAGCCATAAATGCAAGAGGAACAAAAATGCAACAGTAATCTTTTAAAAGCTGTAAAAGGAATGAATAGTTATATCGAGACAGTTACGGAATACACACAACTGTTCCAAAATGGAAGAGCACAGTAGAAATTGTGCAACAGAGGTGAACCCCACAAAGATAGGGGGCAAGGCAGAAATCTCTCTTAGGACCCATTTGCTGCAGACTGTGACTCCTGGGGCCCCAACCTTCCACCCAGGTTATTAATAAATAAATAAATAAATAAATAAAAACAAACAGTGTTATCTTGGTTCCTGAACAGAATGTGTTCCAGAAATCCATTCATTTTCCAAAACCAAGGTGCAGGTGCGCAGAAACAATAGTGGAAGCCGCAGTGGATGTTTGGCTTCCGAAAGCGTTAGAAAACCAGAAGACTCACTTCCAGGTTTCGATTGTTCGGAAGCCAAAACGTACGAGTACCAAGGTGTTCAGGAATCAAGGTACCACTGTAAAAAAAAAATATTATTTATACCCTGCCCATCTGGCTGGGTTTTCCCAGCGACTCTGGGTGGCTTACAGTTAAGTTTTATTTATTTATTTGACTTATATACTCCCCTTCATCTCAAGATCTCAGAGCAGTTCACAAGGTGAAAATACAAGGTGAAAGCACAAATAAATGGTCAAAACAAAAACAACAAAACAGTAACCTCCCTCCCACAAACATATTTTAAAGGCTGTAGAATATTAATCAGCATAAGGCCTGGTTGAAGAGAAACGTTTTCATCTGGCACCTAAAGATATATAATGAGGGCACCAGGTGAACCTCCCCGAGGAGAGCATTCCACAAATGGGGAGCCACTGCAGAAAAGGCCCTGGCTCTTGGGTTGCCACCTTCTGGACTTCTGATGGAAGGGGCACACGAAGGTGGGTCTCAGATGATGATTGCAGGGTCCGGGTCAGTTTATATGGGGAGAGGCAGTCCTTGAAGTATTACGGTCCTGAGCCGTTTAAGGCTTTATAGGTCAAAACCAGCACTTTTGAATTAATTGGGTCCAGAAACTAATTGGAAGCTGGTACAGTTGGTGCCAGGTGTAATATGCTCAAACCATCTTGCCTTGGTGAGCAACCTGGCTGCCAAATTCTGCACCAGCTGAAGCTTCCGAACCGTCTTCCTTCTTACCTCTCGCCACCTTCCATGTTTAGATCCATTCATGAACAAGTCTTCAGAACACCGCTCTCTTAGGACCTTGAAGTCTGCTGATAACAGCTGTACCCGCAGCTGGTATTGGGTGCCTTTGGTGCAGTAAAAACTATATTGAGAGACAGGGAAACAGAGAATATGCCACACCATAAAAATTGTACTGAATCCTCACTCTCACAAGGAGCTAAAATCTAAGAAGAGCCTGGCTGGTGGATCAGGATAATGGCCCATCTTAGCCCAGAATCCTCTTCTCTTCCTCTAATAATTGTCAAAGTTGTAATAGATATCATCTTGGCCTCTCTCCTGCCGATCACCACTGGGCATTTGGTAGCGGATGACCCTGTGGCTGGGACAGAACTGCAACCCGTGATTCTGGTACCCACAAGGATTGTGAAGGTCTCATCCAGCAGCCCTGTCTGAAAGGAAAATACAACCCCTCAGGAGTTGAACTTCAGAGCCAGCAATCCTGTACACTCCAGCTACCAGCCAGAGGCCCCTGCTGGAGCCCACCCCACCCATGTTGTTAGAAGCCATGATGACAGAGTTTTGCTGGCCAGGGTAACTGGCAGTCAGTCACTGTCCACCTTAGGAAAGCAATATGGATATTTTAAGGAAGCTGTCACGCCACCAAAGCTGGGCTTGGCATGGTAGTGAAAGTCTGCGCAGGTCCAAAAAAGTTGGACCACTGTTGCAGCCTATTGCCATCTTTGGAACTGTCCGTGGTCCTGAAATCCAGGTCCTATCAGACACACTTGTCCCAATCCATCTAACTCGCTGGCCAACTCTGGAACTTCCCATGGTCCTGAACCCTAGGTTCAATCAGACCTGCACCATTGTCCTGTCCATCTGCATTTCTTAGTCCAGAAAGTATTGATCTGATGTGCAGAGATCTTTCCTAATCTAATTAATTCAAGAGGGTTCTGGAAGCATCTCTGTGTGAAAGAAAGAAGCAGAAAGTTCATGATGTTTGGGTTATTCCTTCAGAGAAGCCGAGTACAGCTGGTTTAAATTGGTTCTGTTATCTCTTTCAGTCAAGGTCATGTGAACTATAATAGTGAGGCCAGAAGGACCCTGCGTTTCTCTCTCTTTCTGTCTCTTCTTCTTTCTGGTGTGGTGTTCTGTACATAGTATGTTTAGTGTTAAGGTTTAAACTTATTATAAGTTATTGTAAGTTTAAGTTAATTCTGCTGCAACTGGATTTCTTATGGACAGTGCCAATCCTGAATGTATTGGATTTGCGACCATAATGCTCATTTGCCTTCAGTAGCAGTAAAGCTCTGCTGGATGAAATATAATTGCCTCTGATCTATTTTTGGGAATCCTGCAACATGTTTGAGTTTTTGCTCTACTAACTATACAGTGGTACCTCGGGTTACATACGCTTCAGGTTACAGACTCCGCTAACCCAGAAATAGTGCTTCAGGTTAAGAACTTTGCTTCAGGATGAGAACAGAAATCGTGCTCCGACGGTGCGGCGGCAGTAGGAGGCCCCATTAGCTAAAGTGGTGCTTCAGGTTAAGAACAGTTTCAGGTTAAGAACGGACCTCCGGAACGAATTAAGTACTCAACCCAAGATACCACTGTACATTGGAATCTACTCTGGATCAATATGGAGTAGAATTTCCATGACATGGCCAACCCATTGGCCACTTCTATCCTTTTGATCTACTGGAACCTTTGAGACTGTCTTCTTGCCACACAAACTCACCAATAGCCACAATGGCACACACTGCACTCACCAGTCCGTCACCACAACAGTGGGTTTGACCCTGTCTATCAGCTCATCCCAGTAGCCTTCGTCCTTCAAGATGATGAACTGAGACTTGGCGCAGAGCCTAAGTGAAAACCAGAAAGTAACACCATCACTATCCTGCCTTTTGCTCCAGTCAGCCGCCAGAAGCGCCAAGCCAAATGCAGCCCATTGAAGGAGGCTCATCAACCCACCCATGGAGATGACTAGCAAGCCTCATTGCAGAAGGGCACTGGGGCTTGGCCACTTATTAACGTGGTGCTCTAGGGAAATCCTGGTCTCCGTTTTGGGGACGTTGGTTGGTTGGTACTGGATCCTGCCTGGTTTAGTGTGCAAGAAGGAAGTTGCAAAGCTGAAATCCACTCCCTGTGGCAGGGCTTTGAAACAGTCCTGTGCAACACACGACCCACAAAGCTGAAAGCAGGCCAGAAACCAGAGGTTGTGGGAACGCTCTTCCTAGCGCCTGTTAGCCTCCTGAGAGGCAGCATGGTGTTCTGATCAGCGTATAAAACATACAAAGCTGCCTTATAACATTGTTCCATCTAGCTCAACATAGCCTACACTGACTGGCAGTGGCTCTCCAGGGTTTCAGGGAATCTCTCCTGACCCTACCTGGAGATCCGAGGGATTGTACCCAGGACTTTCTGCATGCGGAGCAGGTGAGCTGTGGTCCTTCCTACATTCCGGGCTGAGAAGTTAATACAGTGGTACCTTGGTTCTCAAATGCCTTGGTACTCAAACAATTTTGCCCCTGAATGCCACAAACCTGGAAGTAAATGTTCCAGTTTGCAGGCACTTTTCAGAAGCCAAATGTTTGACGCAGCTTCTGTTTGAGTGCAGGAAGCTCCTTGCAACTGATCAGAAGCCGCGCCTGTTGGGTTTTTTGACTACGTGCAATTCTGTGCAGCTTCACACAGAAGAAGAAGAAGAAGAAGAGTTTGGATTTGATATCCCGCCTTTCACTCCCTTTCAAGGAGTCTCAAAGCGGCTAACGTTCTCCTTTCCCTTCCTCCCCCACAACAAACACTCTGTGAGGTGAGTGGGGCTGAGAGACTTCAAAGAAGTGTGACTGGCCCATGGTCACCCAGCAGCTGCAGGTGGAGGAGCGGAGACGCGAACCCGGTTCCCCAGATTACGAGACTACCGCTCTTAACCACTACACTACACTGGCTCACACAGAGTCAATTAGGAGCTAGCCGGCCAAGAAGACTGAGCAGAGGAGTTATCTGCCTAGAGATATGAAGTTTTGGAAACAGCTCTACCATTGGTTGAAGTCTCACACAGGCGTGATGATTTATGACCTTACTGACTGGAATGTGTTGGTTGGTCAGTGTGGTGTTCTGAGAGTCGTTTGTAGTTTGTTAAGAGAGAGCTAGTTAAGATCCGTGCATCTGTTCATGTATATAGTAACTTGTAGAGTCTGCTGTAAATAATAAACACCTTATAAGTAATCAAGTTACTAGTAGCAGCATTTTGTTCCTGCTTCATCCATCATGCTTGCAACTGATTGCTTTCTAGAACTCTGTGTATGCTCTGCTAAGGTCTGGCTAAGGTCCTGCAACAGGTCAAAGTTGCAAAACATCAATAGGTTTTTGAATGGTTTCAGGAGTCGGACGGATTCCCGGAACGGATTAAGTTCGAAAACCAAGGTACCACTGTACATGGGGGTTTTTTTGCGGGGGGGGGGGGGGAGAATGGTTGCAGTTTCACGCAGGTGTGTCTGACCCTATACCAATTTATTGGCTATTAAAAAGAACTCAATAGATTGAACTTGTTGATGTAAGTTGTGATTATTATTATTAATATTTTAAGAAACTGGTCCAGGATTGAGGAGAGGGTATCTAAAGGCAGGCTTCCATGCCGGCCCAAGATTCCCCACAGGAAAACAGTGAATCGCTCTCCCCATCTCCAGCTGAATCCCAGATCAAACAGTATTATCCTTACCCATCACAAGCAGCAAAGCATTTTTTAACCTGAAGACAGGGCCCATCATCCACAGGGCGGTTCCGCAGAAGAAAGTCCCTCATTCCAAGTCGCAGTGAGGCCTTTTCAGACACTTCCTGAATTTTCCATTGGGCCTCTCCAACGGTCTTGGTTGTCCAATAGTCCAAGTCATCTGTAGGAAAAGGGGACAAGTGATAGGGAAGGGTTAACAACATAAGAAGAGCCCTGCTGGATCAGGCCCAAGGTCCATCTAGTCCAGCATCCTATTCACACAACCTATAAATTACTGGGAAATTTATGAAAGGGCATGTTAAATAACATAATTTAAATACTTGTGGCATTGAGTGGTGTAGATATCTCAGGTTGTTAGTAAAACAGTGTACATCGTAGGCTACAATCCTAACCCCATTTACCTGGGGGTAAGCCCCACTGAATTCAATAGGACTTGCTTCTGAGTAGACACGGTTTGGACTGCATTTTTAAGTTCACAAGGTCTAATATTTTAAAGCGGGATCCAGAAATAAACTTTAAAATACTCCTGTTTTTTCCAATAGCTAGAACTACCAGCTTTTTGCCAGTTTTAACGCTCAGTTCCACTTTCCTGGGAAATCATGAAAACTGGAGTTCTGTAAATGCGGCTCTGGGATGCTGCCCCAGAAATCTGCAACTCCAGGGAGGGGGGGCTGGAGTCCATTGGGACTGGGAGGGCAGAAGACAGAGAGCCCAGAGCCAATGACAAGAGAACCAACCAATTCTAGTTTGCTTGTCTCCATTCCTTTTCCTGTTCAGTTCAACACAGGCATCACTGTGGAGGAGGAGGACGTTGTCAGTACCAAACCCTGAGATGGTTGGAAAAAGTCAGGCAGGTGGGAACAGAGCCCCTCCTGCCCCCCTGCCATGGACCAGCCTCTCGAGATACAAAACCAAGAAGAGTTTTGTAGGTAGCTCTTCATTTCAGCAGGTTTAAGCGGCTCCCCGCTTCAGGAAATTCCTTCCCATTCCCAGTGACACAGCATTTTCTCCTTCCGCTGTAATTCACAACGGCCTACCTAACACCTGAGAGTCAAACTCTGCATGCAGAAATATGGTACAGCCTCGCTTTGCTTCAGCTATACCACTTCTGAATGCAGGTGAAGAAGCGATGTGTTTGGAAGGTTCCCGATGTAAAATAAATAAATTTACGGACCTAAGTTAGCCATGGCCACATAACAAAAGAGTGTGTCAAGGGGCAGGGAGTAGTTGTTTAGCATCCCTGAGCTGCTTGGTTTCTTCAGGAAAGGAGAGAGGTGTGTGTGTGTGTGTGTGTGTGTGTGTGTGTGTGTAAGAATTCACACATCTAATTTCCTACTCATCTGCACTCAGATGTGGGACAGTTCACAGGAACATAGGAAATTGTATTATACTGAATCAGATCATGGGTCTGCCTAGCTCAGAATTGTCTACCTGGAGATGCCATTGGAAATTGTGTCTGAAGCAGTATCTCCATCCCTGTTGTTCAGCCCGGACACTGAGGTCCAGCGCCGAGGGCCTTCTGGCATTCCCTCATTATGAGATGTGAGGTTACAGGGAACGAGGCAGAGGGCCTTCTCGGTGGTGGCACCCGCCCTGTGGAATGCCCTCCCATCAGATATCAAGAAAATAAACAACTACCTGACTTTTAGAAAACATCTGAAGGCAGCCCTGTTTAGGGAAGTTTTTAATGTTTGATGTTGTATTCTGTTTTTAATCTGTTGGGAGCCACCCAGAGTGGCTGGGTAAACCCTGCCGGATGGGCAGGGTATAAATAATAATTAGTAGTAGTAGTTGTTGTAGTAGTACCTGGGACCTGCTGCACGCAGACCAGATGCCCCAACACTGAGTGTTTTTTTAAGGACTATAAGCAGAGGCTTTTGGAAAGGACTGTGCAAATCAGTTCCCTCTCTGCTCAAGGCAGGCTTGTTGGTATTTCTCCTGAATAAGCAGGGACTTGCCTTCTCCAAAGGGGTTCTTGATCAAATTCTTCTCCAAGCGGCCCAAAATGTAGTAGGCCTTTATATCACGTGGCACAACTGGCACACGTTTGTTGCTGTCCTTCCGCCGGAAGAGCCGCTGCCAGAGAACCGGCAAGTCCACCAGGTCCCGCCAGCGGGAGCAGACTGGACGGCAGTTTCGAATCAGGTCGCCCATAGGGACAAGAGACAAGATATCCAACAGGAGGTGATCGGGCAAAACGCAGAGGCTTGCCATCGCCCTTCAAAGAGGTCCACTCAACCTGGAGAGGAGAACTGGGAGAGGGAGGGAGAGAAGCACACAAGAGGGATGTGATCACACTAAATCTCCTATCTAGGAAAGGGCAACCCAAATGATCGAGGGGATGGAATGATTCCCCTATGAAGAAAGATTGAAATGTTTGGGACGTACAGTGGTACCTCGGTTTTCGAACGTCTCCTTTGACAAACATTTCAGTTTTCGAATGCCAAAAACCCGGAAGTAAACACTTCCGTTTTTGAACACACCTCTGTAGGCCGCCCTTTGCAGTTTTCGAACGTTTCGGAACTCGAACGGTCTTCTGGAATGGATTATGTTGGAAAACTGAGGTACCACTGTACAGTGTACACTGTACAGTGGTACCTCAGGTTACATACACTTCAGGTTACATACGCTTCAGGTTACAGACTCCGCTAACCCAGAAATATTACCTCGGGTTAAGAACTTTGCTTCAGGATGAGAACAGAAATCGTGCTCCGGCGGCACGGCGGCAGTGGGAGGCCCCATTAGCTAAAGTGGTGCTTCAGGTTAAGAACAGTTTCAGGTTAAGTACGGACCTCAGGAACGAATTAAGTACTTAACCTGAGGTACCACTGTGCTTAACCCTCGTGCCTACGGGACCGCCTCTCCTGGTATGCCCCACGGAGGACCTTAAGGTCCATAAACAGCAACACCCTAGAGGTCCTGGGCCCTCTTTTGTTAGTTAGATTAGCCTCAGCCAGACCCAGGGCCTTTTCAACACTGGCTCCGGCCTGGTGGAATGCTCTGTCTCATGAGACCAGGGCCCTGTGCGATCTTTCCGCAGGGCCTGTAAGACAGAGTTGTTCTGCCTGGCCTTTGGCTTAGAATCAGTTTGATTCCCTTCCCCTCTTTCTTTTTTCCTTTCTCCTCCTGTTAATGTTTTAATGTTGTATTTTAATCTTGCTCTTTAAGTTGTATTTTAATCAACTTGTTTTTATTATTGGTTGTTAGCCGCCCTGAGCCCGGTCTTGGCTGGGGAGGGTGGGGTATAAATAAATTATTATTATTATTATTATTATTATTATTAACCTGAGGTACCACTGTATGAGGTTAGAGGAAAGCTGAGTAAGAGGCGACATGATAAAAGTTTATAAAAATTATGCTTGGTATTGAGAAAGTGGATAAAGAAGTGTTTTTCTCCTTCTCTCCCAACATTGGAACTTGGGGACATCCAGTGAAGTGGGCATCCATTGAAACTAAATCCACTGAAACTAAACCAGGCAGAGGGACTTCTCGGTAGTGGCACCCACCCTGTGGAAAGCCCTCCCATCAGATGTCAAGGAGATGAGTAACTATATAACCTTTAGAAGACATCTGAAAGCAGCCCTGTATGTAAAGGTAAAGGACCACTGGACGGCTAAGTCCAGTCAAAGGCGACTATGGGGTTGCGGCGCTCATCTCGCTTTCAGGCCGAGGGAGACGGCATTTGTCCACAGACAGCTTTCTGGATCATGTGGCCAGCAGGACTAAACCACATCTGGCACAACAGAAACACTGTGACAGAAACCAGAGTGCATGGAAACGTTGTTTACCTTCCCTCCGCAGCAGTACCTATTTATCTACTTGTACTGGTTTGCTTTCAAACTGCTAGGTTAGCAGGAGCTGGGACAGAGCAACAGGAGCTCATTCTGTCACAGGGATTTGAACCACTAACCTTCCAATCGGTAAGCCCAAGAGGCTCAGTGGTTTAGACTACAGTGCCACCCGCGTCCCTAGCCCTGTAAAGGGAAGTTTTAAACATGCTATATTTTAATATGTTTTTCTATACGTTGGAAGCCACCCAGAGAGGCAGGGGCAACTCAGTCAGATGGATGGAGTACAATTATTATTATTATAGGAAGATTCAGGACATATAACAGAAAATACTTCTTCATGCAATGCAGAGTTAAACTGTGGAACTCTCTCCTATTTGAAGCACAAGCATGGATGGCTTTAAAAGAGGGTCAGACTTGTGCTCATGTCCTGCTTGTGAGATTCCCACAAGCTGGACAAATGGGCGTTTGGCCCGATGCAGAAGATCTCTTCTGATGTTCTCATAAATAGCAGAGACACCAGAAACTGCCTTGCACTAAGTCAAACCATTGATCTATCTAGTTCAGTCTTGTCTGCACCCACTGGCAGGATTTCAGACAAGGCTGTCCCCCAGCCTTACCTAGTGATGACAGGGACTTGAGCTGGGATACCACCTGCATGCATGGAAATAGACAACGCCAAGGAAGGCCCTTGCAACACAATGTTGCTGTGTCAGGGCCACCCAGTGACGGAGGCTGCCCATAGGCTGGAATGCAGGGAGACCAGCAGTAGAGGGCGCCAATGACAAAGAGAGCCAGCTAAGTCTGGTTTCTTCCCTGCTGAGTTCTGCAGTCTTAAGGAGGAAGGTGCCATCAATCAGTACTAATCCCTGGGCTGGTTATAAAAAAAAAAAGCAGGCAGGCAGGGGCTGGCTAAGGTTCATGGGGCAGAGAATTCTATCCACTGAAGTCAATAGACCTTCGTTGCGATTATTATGCATTCAAATAAAATGTGCATGATTATTTAAATCTATTAATTGGTCGATATTATTATTTCTAATTGTTTCTAACATGCATTTTTTAAAACTGTTGTACTTAATTGATGACATGAGATGTTGTGAGCTGCTTTGGGCACAATTTTGTGGGAAAGTGGCATACAAATAAACAGATAATGTTGATGATGATATATCCCGCCTTTCTCCATAAGCTCAAGGTGATGCACCCCAGCTCTGCCCCCTCATTATTTAACCCCCCACAACAACCCTGTGAGGTGCATTTTGCTGAGAGGCAGTGACTAGCCCAAAGTCACACCCGGTGAGTTTCAAAGCCCAGTGTGAAATTTGAACCCAAGTCTTACTCCGACACTCTTAACCATGATGCCACACCTTGCAGGCTAGACCCATCCTTTAAAATTAAGTGGACAGGCCAGACAACTCTAAATTCCATCCCTGGTCCATTGTGTATAAAATTCCTGAACTCTGCAGCTGCATTTTTAGAAGGCTGGGGAACCAAATGCCTTTTATTTTTTCGATGGGGGTTAAAATAGATTGTGAGGTATATTGAATTCATTGAGGCAGGGTGGAGGTAAAGAGTAACTTTCTCCCATTATACACACTACACAGCAGTTTTTCTGGGGTGAGTGGGAGCGCACTGGCAACAGGGATGGGGCTGGTCCACTCCACCAGCTCTCTTAACAGGCACCAAGGCACCCTGAACCACCAAGAGGGAGAGGGTTTTGCAAAACCACTCTCATTCCACAGGGTTGTAGCCGGCTAAATTATTCTCAGGCGTATGCCCATAGCAATGAATGAACCTGCTAGTTATGTCCATTAACTCCACTGGGTCTACTCTGAGTTGGAAACTAGCTAGAGAGACTTAAAGATGCTTAACTGCTCAATTCTCTCATTCTTTGGGTCCTGCCCAGTTGCAGGAATTTATGTATAGGTTGGGGGGGGGGGTTTGCCCCTCCAGCAGATATCATGCACATGCAGCCCACTACCAAAATCAGCACAATCACTTTTGTGACTTTTGTGATTTATCCCCACAGAACACTTCATCGCAGTTTCTTCCTGTCTATTCAAAGGGCCTTTGCTGCATGATGCCAAATGTAACAATTCACTGATAAATTTATCTATGTACTGGCTCACAGGGAAAACACCAGAAATTCATATAGACATGTGAGCTCAGCTACTCAGCAGCCCCTCTGCCTGAGTGATTCCTGGCATCCTGATACCCGGGTGCCAGACAGGTAGCCATTCCAGAAATAACAAACCCAGATGAAGACAAAAGGGTGTGATTAACTTGACTGGGAAACAGGGAAATGTAAATATCTGTTTTGTTACACTTGATGGGTGTTTGGTGGAGGGCAAGGAGAACCACGGGGCAGGGTCTAGGATGCTCAGATTACTGCCTCCAGAACTCCCCTTTCATGATGTAACCATGATGTATTAGTGATGTAGTTTGGGCGGGGTGTAACATGGGGATAAGCAGCTAATAAAAGTTTGGGGGCTTTTTTGTTCGGGGCTTCCATCTTGTTCCACCTTGTGGCAGGTGGGAGTCCTGTCGCGAAAGTCTTCAATAAAGACCAAGCCTACTGGCTGCTGTTTTGCTCTGGTATTCCTGGCTGGTGTCCTTGTTTTTTGTCCAAGGGACAGATTTCTCTGTTAACAGCCCAAAGCTAAGAGGCTCCTCGTTTGCCTAAAAACTTCTAGGGGCAGTGTGGTGCAATGGTTAGAGTGTCGGACTAGGGCCTTGAGAAACCAGGGTTCAAATATCCCAATTAGCCATGAAGCTCACTGGGTGACTCACTACCTCTCAGCCAAACCTACCTCACAGGGTTGTTGTAGAGATTCAGTGAGGAGGGGGCAGAGCCATGTACAACACCTTGAGCTTCTTGGAGGAAAAGGTGGGATTTAAAGGCAATAAAACAAAATAAATAATACTGACTTGGGAAGGGTGCAGGAAACAAAACCGTGTAGGCTCCAAATTGAAGTCGAGTCTCTGCCCCGCTGAGCAACCAGCAGGAAGGGGAGGAGCAAGATGGAAGTTGGGCGTGTCCCCCTCCTCCTCCCATAGCCCCTCCCTTTATAGAAATCCTGGGTAAGGCTCATTTGCATACGATTTAGAGGGCCTTACGCACAGCTGCTGTGGCTTTGCTCTTTATCCTCTTAATCATTTTCTGGGGGGTATCCTGGGTTTGCTTACCCAAGAGTAACTCAGACTGAAATCGTCGGGGCTTACTTTTGAGTAGTAGGCAATGGGCTGACTGCGGTGCAAGTCCTACTCAGAGTAGGCCCATTGACATTCGTGGACAAGAGTAACTTGGGTTAAATAATTTCGGTGGATCAACTCTGAGAAGGACTGTGTTGGGTCCAGCACAACTGCATGTTTGTTTAGTCGTTTAGTTGTGTCCGACTCTTCGTGACCCCATGGACCAGAGCACGCCAGGCACTCCTGTCTCCCACTGCTTCCTGCAGTTTAGTCAAACTCATGCTGGTAGCTTCGAGAAGACTATCCAACCATCTCATCCTCTGTTGTCCCCTTCTCCTTGTGCCCTCCATCTTTCCCAACATCAGGGTCTTTTCCAGGGAGTCTTCTCTTCTTATGGGGTGGCCAAAGTAGTGGAGCCTCAGCTTCAGGATCTGTCCTTCCAGTGAGCACTCAGGGCTGATTTCCTTAAGAATGGATAGGTTTGATCTTCTTCTTTGATCTTCTTCTTCCATGGGACTCTCAAGAGTCTCCTCCAGCACCATAATTCAAAAGCATCAATTCTTCGGCGATCAGCCTTCTTTATGGTCCAGCTCTCACTTCCATACATCACTACTGGGAAAACCATAGCTTTAACTATACGGAACTTTGTTGGCAAGGTGATGTCTCTGCTTTTTAATATGCTATCTAGGTTTGTCATTGCTTTCCTCCCAAGAAGGAGGCGTCTTTTAATTTCGTGACTGCTGTCACCATCTGCAGTGATCATGGAGCCCAAGAAAGTAAAATCTCTCACTGCCTCCATTTCTTCCCCTTCTGTTTGCCAGGAGGTGATGGGACCAGCTGCATAGCACTGCACATTTAAAGTTCTCCATTGCAAGCTTTCAAATGATTCCCTGCGCTGAGCCGCCTTCCGTTTACTCTCAAGTAAGTCTCACGGAAGTCAGTGGGGCTTGCTTCCAAGTAACGGCGCTGCTGGCCTTCCATTAACTCTCTTTCCTCCTCTCTCCAAGGATGTTTGATGAACCAAGAATAAAAATGGGGTCCCTTCAAGGGGTTCAGCTTCTTAAGGAAGACTGGACCTTCGGAGAGAGCGTACCTTTTAAGGCTCAAACCGGTCGGGAAATGAACAGAGACCAGACCAGGATATACAAAAGCAAAGCGGCTATATGCCTGGTCTTTATTAAAGCTGTTGCAACAGGGTGTTCCCCCCACACACAGGAGAGAGGAGGAGGACCCAGGACAAAGGTGTGCAAGCCCTTATATAGATTTTGAAATTGCCCACCCTGGAGCTCAAGACCACTTCCAGAAACATCATACGTACATCACAGAAGGGGCGGACTACAACAGAAATCTGAGTGCGTTGTTTTTTTCCTCTTGTCTGCTAGGTTGCTTGATTGGATTACTTGGGAATCCTGGCCACTCTTTTGTTACTCCGTTCCTGAATCCAGGGCACAGGCTCACGCCCTTTAAATGTGCCTTTAAGACAGGATTTGTGAAAGAGACAATGGGGAGATTTCCTATTTCCTTTGACCTTGCAGAGGAATATTTGAGGTCATTTTGGGAGAGAGAAAATGGTTTCAGTACTTTTCTGTGGGTTTCAGACATGTGGTTTACATATTTGTACGTGTTTCTTTGGTACATTTATGAACATCTATTTTATATATGGGACGTGGGTGGCGCTGTGGGTTAAACTACGAAGCCTAGGACTTGCCGATCAGAAGGTCGGCGGTTCACATCCCCGCGACGGGGTGAGCTCCCATTGCTCGGTCCCTGCTCCTGCCAACCTAGCAGTTCGAAAATACGTCAAAGTGCAAGTAGATAGTTTCCGCTCTAGCGGGAAGGTAAATGGTGTTTCCGTGCACTGCTCTGGTTCGCCAGAAGTGGCTTAGTCATGCTGGCCACATGACCCGGAAGCTGTACGCCGGCTCCCTCAGCCAATAAAGCAAGATGAGCGCTGCAACCCCAGAGTCGTCCGCGACTGGACCTAATGGTCAAGGGTCCCTTTACCTTTACCTATTTTAAATATAAAAGAGCTTAAAATTCTTATAACATTTGAACAGCCCAAATGCACAAGATGGATTGTGGCAGGCAGGTGGAGGCTACGCCAGTTTACTCAGCCTATCGCTTTCTATTCTTATCCACCCAGGCAGCCATCGTTAAGGGGTGTGTGTGCTGAATTCCACGATGAAACGAAGGAGGAAAACCACATTTCTGAATAGTAAGGAAATGCATGGAAGCGGCCAATGGGAACAGCGATCCCTGGAGGCAGAGAGCGAGCATCTCTCTACTGCCACATTCCTGTGCGCCTCATCCCAGATACAACAGGATTGAGGAATTGCCCCCCTCTAGTGGTTGTTGGAAGGAAATCAGCCCTGAGTGCTCACTGGAAGGACAGATCCTGAAGCTGAGACTCACTCCAATACTTTGGCCACCTCACGAGAAGAGAAGACTCCCTGGAAAAGACCCTGATGTTGGGAAAGATGGAGGGCACAAGGAGAAGGGGACGACAGAGGACGAGATGGTTGGATAGTGTTCTCGAAGCTACCAGCATGAGTTTGACCAAACTGCAGGAGGCAGTGGAAGACAGGAGTGCCTGGCGTGCTCTGGTCCATGGGGTCACAAAGAGTCGGACACGACTAAACAACTAAGCAACAAAGTGGTTGTTGGACGCCAGTGTGACCAATGATCAAGGATTGTTTTACACCATGGGTAGGTAAACTAAGGCCTGGGGGCCAGATCGCCTTCTAAATCCGGCCCACGGATGGTCTGGGAATCAGCGTGTTTTTACATGAGTAGAATGTGTGCTTTTATTTAAAATGCATCTCTGGGTTATTTGTGGGGCATAGGAATTCATTCTTTTTTTTTCTTTCCCAATTATAGTCTGCCCCCCCCACAAAGTTTGAGGGACAGTGGACTGGCCCCCTGCTGAAAAAGTTTGCTGACCCCTGTTTTACACAGTTGACATTTATTGTCACATGTGCCAAGGATAGCGCCAGGATCCCTATATGACTTTTCTTTTTGACATCTCTCGAGTCAGAGGAACATCTGTCGCCCTCCAGATCCTGCTGGTGTACAACGCCTGTCAGTCCCAACCAGCACAGCCAAAGTCCATGGATGAGATGGGAGCAATCTCTGCAGTGCCGCAAGTTCAGCATCCTTGCCTTGCAGAGACTTTTCACCTGACTATTGCAAGAGATATTCGTGGAAGAGAGAGCATAAGTGAGGCGACCCAGTCCTGGAGATCTCTCTGCTATGCAGTCTGGCCCATAAACACTGTAAACTAATAAATAACATGAATGAATAAAAGTACACTGCCTCCTTTTTGGGGGTGGGAAGAGAATTGTCGGCAAATTGCACCCTCCGTGAAAAGGATGATCCCAAGCCTTCTTTCCAGCCTGTTGGTTTTTTTGTGTGGGGGTGTGATTTTCCATGTATGGGAGGTATAGCCCATAAATGTGTGCTTTCCAATAAATGACTCCTAAGTCCCCCTCCCCTTCTTTCCCCCTCTTTTCTTACTAACCTAACACTGTATGCAACACCAGTTTCTCACAATGAATGAAACTGATCTGTAGAAAACACATCTTAAAAAAAGAGACGATGCAAGTATTTTTGCAAACTCAGAAATTTTTAATAATTTTTTTAAATGACTCCTAAGTTTCAACTGAACTGGTACAGTCCCTTGTGGCAGGGCTGTACCACCTTGCCATGCAACGTATGAACAAGCGAGGGGGGTGCAGTGTCTCCCCACTACAAATGCCACACAGTCGTCAATGAAAACGCAATCTGAAGCCAGGATGACACACCCAGTTTGGTGTAGTCAGACCTCGGGTTGCGAACGTGATCCGTGCGGGAGGCACGTTCGCAACCCGCAGCACCGCGTCTGCGCATGCGCAGGTTGTGATTCAGTGCTTCTGCAGATGCGCAAAGCACGATTTAGTGCTTCTGCGCGACAGCCGAAACCCAGAAGTAACCCGTTCCGGTATTTCCGGGTTTCGGCGGGTCTGTAACCCCAAAAAACACAAACTTAAGCGTCTGTAACCCAAGGTATGACTGTATATATATGGCATAGCTGTCAACTTTCCCCTTTTCTTGCAAAGAATCCTATTCGGAATAAATTCGGAATAAGGGAATTTCCCTTTAAAAAAGGAAAAAGTTGACAGCTATGATATATAGTGTGTATAGTGTGTTTGTGTGTGTAGTGTATGTATATACTGTGTGTGTGTGTGTGTGTGTGTGTGTGTGTGTGTGTATAGGACGTGTGTGTGTGTGTGTGTGTGTATATATAAATATATAGTATGTATGTATATATATACTATATATGTGTGTGTGAATATAGTGAATGTATATATAGTGAATGTGTGTGTATGTGTGTGTGTGTGTGTGTGTGTGTGTGTGTGTATATATACACAATATATATATATATATATACACACAATATATATATACACACACACACACACACACACACACATATATATATATATATATGTATATGTATATGTATGAATGAATGAAAGGCCGGGTTCCAGGAAGTATCTGGCGTGAATAACCCGCCCCGGAAAACCAAATAAGCAAGCAAGCAAGCAGACACCCGACACGCGGGCGTTCAGCTCGCCGGCCTCCCTGCGTCGGAACCTTTGACTCCGAGGGAGTTCTGTTTCCGGCCGGGCCTCTTTCGGAAGCGCACGCGCTCCGGGCGCCCGTCGGCGGGGGCGAGGAGAAGGGAGCGGACCCGCCGATGGCAGAGGCGAGTCTGAGTCGTCGGTGGCGTCGGGGGAGCTGGGGCTGCTCGGGAGCCGCCTTCTCTGGGCGCAGGGTGAGTCCTGAGCGGGGAGAGGTTCCCCCCTTCCAGCTTCCTCCCGCCCGGACTTCGCCTGCGCCCCGCCACCCCTGCAGGGTAGGACGCTGCTGCGGAGGCTGCCGCCCCGCGGAGGCAGGAGACTGGGGTGGGGCCGAGGGCCTCGCCTTTCTTCGGGGCTCGAAGTGGCCCGGCTTCCTCAATGCTCGCGGGAGGAGGCGGCGGCGGGCAAGCGGGGCTTCGGCGTCTCTCCACCTCCTCGGACGGCAGAAGGGGACAAGGCGGGGTAGGGCTTGCGTGACCGGTATGGAATTCATTCCCTTGGTTGTAATGTATATCTTACTTTTATATATCCTACATTTTGACTTATCTATCTGGAGAGCAGGGGCTCAAAAAAACCAGTTTGACTACATATCTTACTTTTATATATCCTACATTTTGACTTATCTATCTGGAGAGCAGGGGCTCAAAAAAACCAGTTTGACTACATATGTTACTTTTATATATCCTGCATTTTGACTTATCTATCTGGAGAGCAGGGGCTCAAAAAAACCAGTTTGACTACATATGTTACTTTTATATATCCTGTGCAGTATTTTGATTTTTCTCTCTGGAGAGCAGGGGCGGAACCAGACTCAGTGACCCAGTTTGGCTATATATGTTACTTTTATATATCCTGTGCAGTATTTTGATTTTTCTCTCTGGAGAGCAGGGGCGGAACCGGGCTCAATGACCCAGTTTGGCTATATATGTTACTTTTATATATCCTGTATTTTGATTTTTCTGTCCGGAGAGCAGGGGCAGAACCAGACTCAGTGACCCAGTTTGGCTATATATGTTACTTTTATATATCCTGTGTATTATTTTGATTTTTCTCTCTGGAGAGCAGGGGCAGAACCAGACTCAGTGACCCAGTCTGGCTATATACAGTGGTGCCCCGCAAGACGAACGCCTCGCAAGACGGAAAACCCGCTAGACGAAAGGGTTTTCCGTTTTGGAGGCGCTTCGCAAAACGAATTTCCCTATGGGCTTGCTTCGCAAGACGAAAGCCCATAGGGAAATCTCCGGGGACCTCATTAAATGCTAGCGGTGGGGAGCAAAGCCTTCCCCCTCCGGCCTTCAGAAGAGGTCCAGGACGGCTGGCGGGCCCCGACCGGCTTGGCGCCCCACCGCCAGCATTTTAAAAGCAGTCCGGGATAGCAGGGAAGCGCTTCCCGCTATCCCGGACGGCTTTTGAAGGCAGGAGAGGTCCGCGAAGCCTGGGCGCGCTGATCTCAGCGCGCGCAGGCTTCGGCATGCCGGCAACTCTCCGCAAGCAGCGGCAGCGCTGCCGCTGCTCGCGGAGAGGTCCGCGAGCCTGGGCGCGCTGATCTCAGCGCGCGCAGGCTTCGGCATGCCGGCAACTCTCCGCAAGCAGCGGCAGCGCTGCCGCTGCTCGCGGAGAGGTCCGCGAGCCTGGGCGCGCTGATCTCAGCGCGCGCAGGCTTCGGCATGCCGGCAACTCTCCGCAAGCAGCGGCAGCGCTGCCGCTGCTCGCGGAGAGGTCCGCGAAGCCTGGGCGCGCTGATCTCAGCGCGCGCAGGCTTCGGCATGCCGGCAACTCTCCGCAAGCAGCGGCAGCGCTGCCGCTGCTCGCGGAGAGGTCCGCGGAGCCTGGGCGCGCTGATCTCAGCGCGCGCAGGCTTCGGCATGCCGGCAACTCTCCGCAAGCAGCGGCAGTGCTGCCGCTGCTTGCGGAGAGGTCCGCGAAGCCTTGGCTGGACAGCTTTTGAAGGCAGGTGGGGGACAAAGACTTCGCCCCGCCAACCTTCAGAAGAGGTCCAGGACCTCTTCTGAAGGCTGGCGGGGGCAAAAGTCTTTGTCCCCCTGCCTGCCTTCCCAGGGGCTTTAAATTGCCCCGGACAGCGGAGAAGTCCTCCGCTGTCCCGGGGCAATTTTAAATGCCGCCCGCCAGCATTTTAAGATCGCCCCGGACAGCGGAGAAGCCCTCCGCTGTCCCGGGGTTTTTTAAAATGCTGGGGTGGGTGGGAAGAAAAGCCCTTGTGCCCCCCAGCCTTCAGAAGAGGTCGGGGACAGACTGTCCCCGGACCTGGTCTGAAGTCGGTTTCCCTAGGAACGCATTAATTGATTTTCAATGCATTCCTATGGGAAACCGTGCATCGCAAGACGAAAAACTCGCAAGAAGAAAAAACTTGCGGAACGAATTAATTTCGTCTTGCGAGGCACCACTGTATGTTACTTTTATATCTCCTGTGCAGTATTTTGATTTTTCTCTCTGGAGAGCAGGGGCGGAACCGGGCTCAATGACCCAGTTTGGCTATACAGTGGTACCTTGGGTTACATACGCTTCAGGTTACAGACTCCGCTAACCCAGAAATAGTACCTCAGGTTAAGAACTTTGCTTCAGGATGAGAACAGAAATCGGGCTCCGGCGGCACAGCAGCAGCAGGAGGCCCCATTAGCTAAAGTGGTGCTTCAGGTTAAGACCAGTTTCAGGTTAAGTACAGACCTCTGGAACGAATTAAGTACTTAACCTGAGGTACCACTGTATATGTTACTTTTATATATCCTGTATTTTGATTTTTCTGTCCAGAGAGCAGGAGTGGAACCAGACTCAATGACCCAGTTTGGCTATATATGTTACTTTTATATATCCTATATTTTGATTTTTTTCCACATTTTTTTCTATTAAATGTTATGTTTTGCATTTTAGAATATTCATTTAAACAACCTTAAAATGTCAATGACTTCCCCCCTTCTCTTTGTGTGGTACATTTTGCATAACATAAATCCCTGCATATTTCATATAAACCAAACCATTCAGTATTCCATTATTACATCCATCAAAACTTATTTACATTGTTGAATTTATCTTAATACTGCCCACATTTTCAATGTACACAGTTTCCCCCCATATATTCAATTAACATTTTCCAGTCTTTTTTAAACGTATGTTGTTCTTGTTCTCTTATTCTATATGTTAGGTCTGCAAGCTGCGGATATTCCATCAGTTTAAGTTGCCATTCTTCTTTAGTTGGGACTTTGCTCATTTTCAATTTTTGGGCTAACAAAACACGGGCTGCCGTAGTGGCATACATAAATAACCTTTTTTGACACCTGGGAATTTCCATCAGAATTATCCCCAACAGAAAGGACTCTGGGTTTTTTGGGGAAAGTAATTTTAAACATTTTTCTTCAATTCATTATGAATTATTTCCCAACACTCTTTTACCCTTTTACAGATCCACCACATATGACAGAACATACCCTCAGTCTCATTGCACCTCCAGCACTTATCTGATTCAGTCTTGTACATCTTAGCAAGCCCACTCGGAGTTACACACCATCTGTGAATCATTTTCAGGTAGTTCTCCTCCAAGGAATAACAAACTGTAAACTTCAGATCGCTCTTCCAAAGCTTTTCCCAGAGATTAAATCTATATTATGTCCTTTATCTATTGCCCAGTGTGTCATAGAGGCTTTGAGAAGCTCGTCTTTTGTTTCCCAATGTAGTAACAGATTGTATATTTAGATTTTTCTGTCTGGAGAGCAGGGGCAGAACCATACTCAAAGACCCAGTTTGACACACACACACACACACACACACACACACACAATTGCGTACCCCCACCTCAATGGTGCCCCTCTGGAGGCTTCATTTGGGGCAAAAAAAAACCTGGCTCTCTCTCTCACACACACACACACACACACACACACACACAGACAGACAGACAGACAGACACAGACATAGCTATGGGTCTGCCGGGGAGATCATTTCACCCCGGGATTTGACTTAACTCCCCACCCTCCACCGACTGTAGAGTCGGACCCTATTGTCTCTTGAGGCAGGTAGACGCCAAAAACAATTACATTTATATGTCACCTTTCTCCCCCCCCACTTCCCCTCTCCCATTTCATCCTCACAACAACCCTGTGAGGTAGGTTAGGCCGAGAGCCCACGGTCTACATTTGTGAGCTCCATCATAGGGATTCGAACCCAAGTCATAGTCTGAATCTGCAACCACACTGGCATAATTATTGTTATTGCTATTATTAGCACCCAGCATTTAACATCGGAGTTCAATATTGAAAGCTGTTTAAAACAGCTTTAGAATAGCAAAAAAGAAGAAGAAGTCTATTATAATACATTGTGTTTATCCAGTTTTTGGTTTGCTTTTGTATTTATTACAGGGGTTAACGAAACAGGAATGTTGAATGTTGAACAGGCAAACTGTTCTAGCTTCCATATTGCCATAAGGGTGTAAAATGTCTTTTCTGTTAGTCACCTTTAATAAATATATGGTTTGAATGTTTAACCAGTTCCGGATCAAACTTGTCTGAAGTGCTGGTTGATGCTTTCATTACTTATCTGTCTAGTACATATTCTGTTTGTTATTTTTGTAAACCACTTGGAGACTGTCTTGTTGTTAAGGGGGTATGTAAAAATATTAGATAAATAAATTAATCTCAGTAAGTTCTACAATCATGCATTTTAAAATAACTTAAAATAAGTTTAAAAACAATACAGTGGTGCCTCGCAAGACGAAATTAATCCGTTCCGCGAGTCTCTTCGTCTTGCGGTTTTTTAGTCTTGCGAAGCACGGCTATTAGCGGCTTAGCGGCTATTAACGGCTTAGCGGCTTTAAGAAAAAGGAAACAAACTCGCAAGAACTCGCAAGACGTTTCGTCTTGCGAAGCAAGCCCATAGGGAAATTAGTCTTGCGGAACGACTCAAAAAACGGAAAACTCTTTCGTCTTGCGCGTTTTTCGTCTTGCGAGGCATTCGTCTTGCGAGGTACCACTGTACAAAAACCACTAAAGAGAGGTCATTAAAAAGTGTTGCTTTAAAACTTACTGCTGAAATGCCTGCTATGAATTATTGTGGGCTTCTGACATTTTAGAGACCTCAGAAACTCTCCGACAGATCACAGGGACTTCCTTGGCTTGTAAAGGCTTAAGGCAGACTTTCAAGGAAAACAACAGGGTGACAGGTGGAAGTTGGGCAAGGAATGCGTCAAATGCCCATCACACATTGTTTTATTTCAGTCCGCTCCTGATTAATCCCCGTGCTTTAATTCAGTGCTCATTTTAAAGGCACGTTTCATCAGCCTTATGTCCTCCGAATGTTTTTGGCTACACCACGCTGGTGAAGGGAAGGGAGGCTTTGTTCCTTGGTTTCAGTTTGGGTGTTTTTGACTATATTTATGTTCTGTTATGGCGTGTCCTATGTGGTTTTGTCAGGGACCAGTGTGCCCTGTGCTATTGCAGAACGTTTGCCTTCTCTGAATCGCTTGGAGCACAGTGGAAAATGTGGATTTTTTTTTTATTTTTAAATGGCTGGAAGGTGGTTTAAGCAATGGCTATTGTGAAAATCTTTTAATCAGTAAACTAAATCAAACCTGAAACCTTTGAAAGTGTCAGGCTCTCCTTCGTTGGAGGTTTTTAAACAGAGGTTAGATGGCCCCTGAGTTGCAGGGGATTGGAGTCGATGCCCCTTTGGGGCCTTTCCAACTTTACAGCCCTATGATTCTGTCATTCAATGTCCTTGACAGGGTATGGGGGGGGTGCACCTGTTGAAATTTTATTAGATAAACCTGCAACCCTCCAGATATTTTGGACTACAACTCCCATCAGTCCCATTTTGTGTTGTGAACCGCTCTGTGGTCTTCGGATGAAGGGCGGCGTACAGATTTAATAAATAACAATAATCCCAGCCAGTAACCAAAAGCATCCGAAAGGCATCAGATGGCTGAACTAAATCATAGGAGTCCCATAAAATGAATATAAAGACCTGATTCAGCATCGTGAGTCAGCCTGTTGCTGGATCATTCTGCAAAATCTCAAGCCGGAGCTCTTTCCCCAACTTAGCTACATTTTTTTTTAAACTGGAAATGTTTGGGATGGGGAGAGAGCCCCGAGGACCAGAGAGGAGTGGACAAATTACCGTATTTTTCGCTCTATAAGACACACCAAACCACAAGACGCACCTAGTTTTTGGAGGAGGAAAACAAGAAAAAAATAATTCTGAATCTCAGAAGCCAGAACAGCAAGAGGGATCGCTGCGCAGTGAAGGCAGCAATCCCTCTTGCTGTTCTGGCTTCTGGGATAGCTGCGCAGACTGCATTCGCTCCATAAGACGCACACACGTTTCCCCTTACTTTTTAGGAGGGAAAAAGTGAGCCTTATAGAGCAAAAAATACGGTAGTTCCCTGGGTCCTGAGGCCACCCCACCCCTGTGTTACACAGTTCTAGAGAGGTGCTCACTTCTCTCTGTCAGGGAAATAACTCCCCTAAAGAGGAGGAGAAGGCTATTGTGAAAGGGGTAAGGTGTAGGTTTTCCTTAGATTTGATGGACCACCACACAAATTTCTCTTCTTCCTTTCCCCTTTTCAGGTTCACTTCTGACACCTGGCGTTGCATCAGCCTGTTTGAACAATGGAGGCGGAAGATGAGATGGAAAAGATCAATATTGTCAGTGAAAATAACCAGGAGAGCGAGCCGGAAGATCAAGGGGCGGCGCTGCTGGGCACCCCGAAGAGCCTGCCCAGCACCTGGCAGCACAAGTGCGCCTCTTATGTCCTGGCCCTCCGCCCCTGGAGCTTCAGCGCTTCCCTCACCCCGGTGGCCCTAGGCAGCGCTCTTGCCTACCGCTCCCTGGGGACTTTGGACCCTGGGCTCCTGGTCGGCAGCGCAGTGACCGTCTTGGCCGTCCACGGAGCCGGGAACCTCGTGAACACCTACTACGACTTCTCCAAGGGGATCGATCACAAGAAGAGCGACGACCGGACCCTGGTGGACCGGATATTGGAGCCCCAGGACGTGGTCAGATTCGGGGTCTTCTTGTACACCCTCGGTTGCATATCTGCGGCCTGCCTCTACTGCCTCTCTACCCTCAAGCTGGAGCATCTAGCCCTGATCTACTTCGGAGGGCTCTCTAGCTCCTTTCTCTATACTGGAGGTAAGGAATCCTCACCAACACACACAGATCTTTTCTTGTTGCAGAGCATCTTTCCCGGACGTGGGGCCCTCCAGGTGTGTGGGGCTCCCAGATCCCTGGGATGCGAGAGTCCAAAGCTTTTGAAGGGCACCAAACTTAAGGTGTAGGCTGTTTAAGAAGAGCTGGGCAATATCTGGTTTTCAATATTGTTATATATCACAAGCTAAACATGGTGATATACCAATATATCACAATGTCTGAAATAAGGATGGAGCATTGGCTGGCTTCATGGTTTTTCCTGCATCGTGATTTTTGCTGGCATCTGCTTCTTTCATTCACTGCCCCATGCATGCGGCAGGGGAGAGCTGAGCTGGCAGAGTTAACAGTAGCTGCAGGAATCGAGAGAAGCATTGGCTGGCTTCACAGTTTTCCTCACATTGTGATTTTTGCATAGCACCCACACCCACAATTTGTGATATATTGCCAGGTAAAAAGTTATGAAACCAATTTCACATTATGGACTTCAAACCAGTTTTGGACAATATATCAATATATTGTCCAGCCTTAGCCAGGTTCAGTAACCGAGGCGACAGGGGTTCTGCTCCAGAATTCTGTGATTTAGGTTTAGGGTTGGGCAATAACTGGTTTTCAGCATTGCGATATATCACCAGCTAAACCTGGCGAGATACCAATATATCACTGTGACTGAAATAACCATGGAGTTACGCAGAGGCATCACCTTCACAGTTTTTCCTGCATTGTGATTTTTGCCGTGTTGATCATCTATGTTGCCTTCTGCTAAAAAATTATCAATGTCGGGCGTTTTGCAAACATGTTTTAGAGAAGCATTATCACTGTTGCATCCCCACCAGCTGGATGTCTTAGATAATCCTTTCATAAATGAGTGCAATGGAGTCCAGTAAATTCTAAAAATTATTTTTTGTTGTTGTTTAGAGAGCGGAGGACAAGTACGAGTCTTAATTTGAGGTCCAGAGACACCCTTGTTATAGAACTTAACACAATTGCTTGGTTGTGATTGAGATTCCCAATTCGTTTTCCATTCCTCCTTTCATAACTGTGTATCCAACTGGTTTGCTGCTAAGGAGCATTTATATATGATAATTGTGGGGTGATGTTTTTGTTTGTTTGTATGTTTGTTACATAAGAGTTGATCGACTCTTTTAATATCTGGGGTCTCTGAGCCGCAGAAGGTCTTTTGTAAGTTTAAGACTTCCACCCTCCTGATCTTCAGTTCAGGGGTGATAAGGCTGTCGGTGCTCACTAGCCACAACGGCTATACTCTGCTTCCACTATTGAAGGCCACAGGCCTGCGAGCAACAGTTTCTAGGAATCAGTAGCAGGGAGAGCGCTGTTGCACATGGGTCTGGCTTGTGGCGTTCCCATGATGGGACCACCTGATTGGCCACCATGAGATCAGGTTGCCTTCACCCTGATCCTGTCGGGCTCTCATTATGATAGTATTATTTATTGCATTTATATCCCTCCCCCCCCCCAGGAGCTCAAGGTGGTGCATGTGGTTCTTCTCATTTAATCCCCACAACCACTCTGTGAGTTAGGCTACGTTGAGAGAGGCAGTGCCTGGCCTGTTCTCACCCAAAGAGCTTAATGGCATGGGGAGGGGAGAAGGGAGGGGATTCGAACCCTGGTCCCGGCCTGCCGCTCTAACCGCTACACCTTTGCTGCCTCCTCTGTCATTCTGTTCTGTCGTGACTGCAGGCATTGGCTTCAAGTACGTGGCACTGGGCGACGTGGTGATCCTCATCACCTTTGGGCCGCTGGCCGTGATGTTCGCCTACGCCGTGCAGGTGGGCTACCTGTCGGTCTCGCCCTTGCTCTACGCCGTCCCGCTGGCCCTGAGCACTGAGGCCATCCTGCACAGCAACAACACCCGGGACATGGAGTCGGACCGGCAGGCCGGCATTGTCACCCTGGCCATCCTCATTGGGCCGACGTTCTCCTACTTCCTGTACAACGCCCTCCTCTTCCTGCCCTACCTGGTCTTCTGCGTCCTGGCTACCCGCTACACCATCACGATGGCCCTCCCGCTCCTCACAATCCCCATGGCCTTCTCCCTGGAGAGGCAGTTCCGCAGCCAGAGCTTCGTCAAGCTCCCCCAAAGGACAGCCAAGCTCAACCTCTTGCTGGGACTCTTCTACGTCTTCGCCATCCTCTCGGCGCCCCCGGGGGCCCTTCCGAAGCTCTAGTTGGGGGGCAAGTTCTATGGAGGTGACTGTGGCTGGAAACTCTGGGTTTTCCCTTGAGAACTGGGTGCAGTGGAGGTCGAGGCGAGAGGGGCCGCTGCCCCACCAACTCCGGCTTGCATCCAGTCGAGGGTGGTGGTCCTGGCTATCGGCTTCCTCCTCCTCCTTAGTCTCAGTTTTGCCATTATAGAACTCAGTATGGAGGAAGAGGAGGAGGATGGGGGCAAAGCTGGGATTGGCTGGTTCTACCTGTCGTTCTCTCTGGCCCCACCTTCTCGGGGGCCTCTCTGCCTTCTGCCACACCTGTATCGGTGGGCACAAGCCTCTGCTGCCTGGGCAGTGCTTGTGGGGTTATTTTTCTCAGAGAACAAGAATAAGAGGTCTCTCAATTGAGCTGTTTAATTTTTTTTGTCTTAATGGTTTAGGTTGCAGCATTCCTGCTCATGGGATCCCTCTGTACGGATGCTGCAAAAGTATTTTCTTTTAAGTGGGGGGGGGTGTGGAAAGAGATATGAAAGCTTAACCCCCAATGTTTCATTTGTTCTCCCAGCACTCCCGAAAAGTTGGAAAATAAATGTTTAAAGAAACTGTCCGGCTTTCTAGGGAAGGATGTGCCGTACTTTGCAGAGCTAGTGGAAACTGAATGTAAGCTGAGCAAGGAATTCAAGGAACCCTGAAGGATAGGCAGCCTTTGCCAAGCAGGTGCCCAAATGTCGCTGAACTGCAACTCCCATCAGCCCCAGCCAGTGTGGTCCAATTGATGATGGGAGTTGTGGTCCATCAACATCAGGTCATCAACAGGTTGCCCATTGCTGCATTAAAACAATGCTGAGTAATGACGGAGGTATCTGAGCATGGTAGAGACATGTCAGGGGGTAGCTAGAGGGCAGTAAGGGCAAGTGACAGTACAAAAACTGTTGGACTCCCAACTCTTATCAGCCCAGCAAGTTGGAATTAGGGCTGGGCGGTATCTGGTTTTCTCTCTCTCTCTCTCTCTCTCTCTCTCTCTCTCACACACACACACACACACACACATATATAATTTTCAACAAAAATAATGAAAACAAAAAACACACAATAACAAATACAATAAGAAATACAAAGAAAAATATACACAAAAACAATATCAAATCCATAAAATGGGATTCTCCGAATCCCGTGACTTCCCTCTCCCCCCACCCCTGGTTCCTTAAATTTTCTTTTCAGCTGCATATCATTTTTACTCCAAATTATTTTTGGCGATATCTGGTTTTCAGCGTCATACCACCAGCTAAACATTGTGATATACTGATATATCACAATGTCTGAAATAAGGATGGAGCTATGTAAAGGCATTGGCTGGCTTCACAGTTTTCCCCACACTGATTTTTACATAGCACACACACATCATGATTTGCGATATATTGCCAGGTCAAAATTTATGAAACGGATTGCACGATATGGACTTCAAACTGGTTTTGGATGATATATCAATATATCGCCCAGCCCTAGTTGGAATTCAGTAACAGTTTGGATTCAGAACTGTTTGGGGAAGGCCGATTAAGCATATAACGGCTTAGAAAACCAATGTTTAAATGCACAGCCTGAATCAAGAAAGAAGTGTCGTCTCCATTCTCTTAACATCCCTATAGAGTGGAGCTCCACCAGACCTCTCATCGGAAGGAATTCCAGAGGACTGACAAGCACCAAGACACAAATCCTTGGTTCATTTTCTCTCTTCTCCAGAGAGATGGGTGCCAAGACGGATCTACCCTTTGGATCTTGATGATTATTAAATCCTCCATATTGTTCTATAATAGGCATCCTCCTTATTTAACAGGTACCATACCCCACTTTAACCACTGCCAAAAAGCTCAAGGGACCAGTGGTGGCGACAGCGGCGCTTGGAAGCCCGGGTGTTGACGGTTGGACAACCTGCTGTTTCTAATTTTAGTGATGTGCTGAGCCTATTGAGGTTGGTGGGGGTGGTCAGTAGGTTGGGCCTCTTGGGGATAGGACCCCCAAAAGATCTTCCTCCCCTCCTTCCTGTATGTTTCCTGGGAAGAGTTTGTTCTTGAAAAATAAAGCAAAACTTTTATCTTACTTTAAAGCCATAGACTGGGCGTCCTGTGGCTTAAGAAAAATGTTGTTTGCCAGAGAGCTTGAAAGGTGAGCAGAATGGGCAAATCTGGCTGTTTTGCCGTGTATCCAGGTGATGAGGCTTGAAACGGCAACCGGTTTTGTATTGAGGGTGGATCACAAACTGTCCTAAAAAAGAGAACCAGGGTCCCTTTTTCTTTTGTGCTCTCTGGTGGAGAAACGGCCCCTAAAAAACCAGGCTGCAAAAATTTCTGGAGTGTTACGCTTCCTAATGGTGCTTGTTAGAGCTTCAGTTTAACAGCAGTTGAGTTCTCTCCCCGCACCCAATCCTTTTTACAGCACTCCCTAAAGGAAAGGGCGAGGGAATCTTGCAACCCCTTCCAGAAGTTTTTTGACTACATCTCCCATAAGCCTCAGCCAGATCAGGGACGATGGGAGCAACATCTGGAGGGCCACCCATTTCCCATCCCTGGACTAAAGGCCCCTGGGAGCTGGGAACACCAAAGAAAACTCCCTGTTGTGCCTCTGTATGAGTGGCTGCTCGGTTTGTTTTTTAATTACTGATTAAAGCAGGGATGGCTCACCTGTAGTCCACTCGGACTTGTTGGGACTCCCAATTCCCATCAGCCCCAATGGTCACGGATAGCGGGACTTGTAGTCCCACCAAATCTGGAGAGCTGCAAATTTCCCATCCCCTGCCTGAAAGGAGGTAGCTGAAAGGAAAAAGCTGCACATGGATTGTTCATGCCCTCAGACCCCCAAAATATGTCAGCTGAGAAGGGATGGCGAGGGGCCGCTGGCAGCCCGAAATGACGAATTTGCATTATTAGGAAATTTTGGGAGCGGGTAGTAGGTGATCTTCCATGTATGTTTGGAAAGCCACTGGTGTCTCGGCCTAGTGATGGCCTTTCCCTGGTGATGTGTTCACTTTAACAGCTACCAGAAGCAGATTGTGGGCGGTGTTTTGCAATGCTATTTTTCTAGAACTCACCTCATTCTCTTATACTGGCAATGGCACCCACCTGAGAGGGGCTGGAATAGTCGTTCCAGTTGAAAAAAAGCCCTGGTGTTTAGGGTGGTTTGTTGCAGAACCATGCTGTGGCCCGATATGTCGAGGGCTTTCTCCTTCCATCTCTCCTCCTGCTGAAGGTTGTCCTTCCTTTCCTTTCCCTCCTTGCTTACATTGCCCTATTTCATCAGTGATCACTTTCAGCTCAAGCCTTGGGTTCCCATCCCACGGATTCAGGGTTGGGCAAGCTGAGTCAAGTCTTCCTCCTACTGGGTCCCGCTGGCTCGCTCTTGTTCCATAGAAGGAGGGCAGGTATGTCACAAATTGAGCCTGCCTCACCCTTGGCAAGAGGGATGGTGACTCCACGCGGGGAAGCTGTTAGCTGCCTGGAAGCCTCTGCGGTTTGGTTGTCGTAACCAGAAGGGAGCTCCAACCAGGCTTGCTGGTTTTGCAGCAAACCAGCTCAGCTAACCCCGCTGTAATGAGTGCCATAATGGCTGGGGTTTCCACACTCCCTGTGTCAACACAAATTGCATGTATGAAGCAGAGGAATTATTTACGCCTCTGCTTTATGGGCCGACTGCACGGGATATTTTATTCCTGGGCATTTTCTACAGCTCTTCCGGTGCCGAGCTCATACTGGGGCACATTGAATTTTTCAGCTTTTGAATTCCACATTTGTGCTAAAATGTCGTAGCATGACTTGGGAATTCAAAAGGTATTTTGGTTAAGTCAGTGTAATTTAGTTTTGCTTGGTAAACAAAGCATGGGGGAAAATTGCATAGAAATAATGGCAAATGATTGCTAAGTGCTTGCAGTAGAACCCGTCTCAGTTGCTAAAAGGCACTTCCAGCCACTGAGCCTCTGGTGACAGAGAAACACCCCAGGACTGCAAACCTCCTCCTTCAGGGGCAGTGCAACCCCATCCATGGTACGCAGCTGATCAATTTCTCTGACACATGAGTGCCTCCAGGATTCAAGTTCAGCTTGTTTTCCCTCATCCATTTCACCACTGTGTTCAGGCGGTGGATTAGGGACTGCAAAGCCTCTCCTGATTTCAGATCCTATGGAGAAATAGAGCTGAGTGTCATCAGCATACTGTTGACATTTTGCCCTGAAACTGCCAATGGCCACTCCCAGCTGCTTCATGCAGATATTAAGTAGCACTGGGAATAAGGCCGTCCACTGCAGCACCCCATAATGTAAAGGGAAAGGACCCCTGGATGGGTAAAGGTAAAGGGACCCCTGACCATTAGGTCCAGTCGTGACCGACTCTGGGGTTGCGGTGCTCATCTCGCTTTACTGGCCAAGGGAGCTGGTGTACAGCTTCCAGGTCATGTGGCCAGCATGACTAAGCCACTTCTGGCGAACCAGAGCAGCTCACGGAAATGCCGTTTACCTTCCTACCGGAGTGGTGCCTATTTATTTACTTGCACTTTTGATGTGCTTTCAAACTGCTAGGTTGGCAGGAGCAGGGACCGAGGTACGGGAGTTCACCCCGTCGCAGGGATTCGAACCGCCAACCTTCTGATCGGCAAGTCCTAGGCTCTGTGGTTTAACCCACAGCGCCACCTGCGTCCCCCTGGATGGTTACGCTCAGTCAAAGGCAACTATGGGGTTGCGGCACTCTTCAGGCCGAGGCAGCCAGCGTTTGTCCACAGACAGCTTTCCGGCTCATGTGGCCAGCAGGACTAAACTGCTTCTGGCACAGTAGGACACCATGACGGGGTCCTTTACCTTACCATATGCAACATCCTCTGAGGAGCACGCAGACATGCCAAGAGCTGATGCCCAGGGAGTTCAATCCTCTCTGGCCCAGGTGCGCGAGTGTTTTCTGCGCGTGGAACTCTTGCATGAGCCCAAACCCTACCCATCATACCCTCCTCCCACCAGCTGGTGCAGGGTGAGTTCAATCCTGTTAGGTTCTGGGCGTTCAATCCTGCTTGGTTTTCTCACACCCTCAAAGGCCACACCACCAGCTGCGTAGTGTTTAGTTTCCAAGAGATGTTTAGTTTAGTTTCCAAGAGATTCCAAAGCACCCAAGTCTTGCCTCTTGATGAGGGATCTGATTTGCTAGCCTTCCTAGTGGAAGTTGAATACTAGTAGTGTCTCAGGAAACCCCCCCCCCCAAATCATTCAGTTTGTACAAACTTCACACACACTCACACACTACATGTGCTACGCTTCTGTTATAAATTCATAGAAAATCAACCATACATCGGATTTGCACTGTTCCACTTTTATTTTACTCCATGAAGGAAGGACTACAAAATGGGGAAGGTTTGATACAGGGCAGCCATAATCCCTTGAGCATACCAGCACATACACAGGAGCCCTGCCCAGTTGCTATGCCAACCCTGATGGTCCCAGACAGAAGACCATCAAGATCACAAAGAACTTGCATATGGGAGTGGATTCAGCACGGACTGGACAAAGGACAATAATCAGCTCTTCCCTCTGGGGGCAGGAAACTGCAAACTCCCCTCTGTCACCTGGAAAGTACTCATGGGGAGGGGGAAAGGGGGAACCAGCCAGGTGACAGGACACTCAGGTTACCACTGCAACTCCTCCCTCAACCCCTCCTTTCTGTGATGAAGGTGTGATGTATCTGAGGGGTGCTCTTAGGTTACACCCCTTCTGTGATGTATGTATGATGTTTCTGGGGGTGGTCCTGATCTACAGGGTGGCAATTTCAAAAGTCTTTATAAGGCCTTGCACACCATTTTTCTGGGTCCCTCCTCTCTCCTGCAAGTGAGGGGAGCACCCTGTTGCAACAGTTCAATAAAGGCCAAGCCTACAGGCTGCTGTTTTGCTCCAAGTAATCCTGGTTGGTGTCTTTGTTTTTGTCCAAGGGAGCCCTCGGATTTTTCCGTTAACAGTAGTATCATCAAGAGTGTTGACCCATTGGAATCGATGGACCCAAGTTCGTAAGAACATAAGAAGAGCCCTCCTTCCGCAGTAGCCAGCCAGATGCCTGTGGAAAACACACAAACAGGATCTGAGCACAAGAACACTCTCCCCTCCTGCCATTTCCTGGAAATGGTATTCAGAAGCATCACTGCCGTCAACAGCCCTCTCCTGCATGTATTTGTCCGATCCTTTTAAAGCCATCTAGGTTGGCGGCCAGCCCTGCCTCCTGGGGGAATCAAGTTTCAAACTTTCACTATGCACTGCATGAAGAAATAGTTCATTTTTATCTGTCTTGAGTCATCCAGTGTTCAGCTAATGTTATGTGAAAGAGAGAACGCCACTTGCACAACTTTTAGGAAGCCCTCGCTATATAAATGTTGCCGGCTATTAAATCAGATTAAGGCAGGTTTAGAGGCTGTTCTGACAGCACAAGTAGGAGGACGATTAAATGTGACTCTTGGGCTGAACCAGGTGAGGGAGGCATCTGTGCATGTGGGGCGTCAGGGTGAGAAAGCAGAGAGGTACCTTTCACTCTTTCGTAACATCAGAACCCATAGGCATCCAGCGAGGCTGGATTCAGGATACACAAAAGGAAGGACTTCTTTACACAGAGAGCATGGCTAAACTATGGAACTCACTGCCACAGGATTTAGTGATGGCCGCTAACTGGGATGGTTATAAGAAGGGAGTAGAGAATGCACTTGGAGGCAGCAATGCTTCTGAATACCAGTTGCTTAAGAAATGTGGGAGGTCAGTTTTGCCCTCCCCCATGTATTTTTTTGAGCCCGCCCCCCTCCGGTCCCTTCAATTTTCAAAGAGTGTGCATTTCCTCCCCCCTGACTCCTTGTGATGCCGTGTGTGCAACTTCAGGATGTTGTGTCGGGCCCCCTCCATCAACTAGAGAAGACGGCGCCTCTGATAGCGCTTGGACCAATGAAGTCATAGAATTGTAGAGTTGGAAGGGACTCCGAGGGTCATCTAGTCCAACCCTATGCAATGCAGGGTTCAAATGACCAGAAAGGAGAGTCCGACCAAACATCAGGAAGGACCTTCTGGTGATAAGAGCTGTTTGAAAGCGGAACAAACTCACTTGGAAAGTGGTGGACTCGCCTTCATTGGAGGTATCTAAGCAGAGGTTAGGTGGCCATTTATCAGGGATTCTTTAACTGTGGTATCTGCGTTGCTGGGGGTTGCACTAGATGACCCTGGGGGTCCCTTACAACTCTGCAACTCCAGGATACTACTATCCATGTTCTGCTGCCTGTGGTGAATTTTTGATCACATTATAGCAGCAGTTCTCAACCTGTGGGTCCCCAGATGTTGTTGGACTACAACTCCCATCATCTCTGGCCACTGGTCATGCTGGCTAGGAATGATGGGAGTTGTAGTCCAACAATATCTGGGGACCCACAGGTTGAGAAACACTGCATTATAGGAAGAAGTGATGAGCAAAGCCTGACTACTCACCTTCTTTGGCGATCCTAGCTGATGACTTACTAGCCAAGTAAGATTGTCTTCCACAAACACGGTTTTAACAGTGGACCGTGGAGTCCAATTCTGGATCCACACGTCCTTCCACAGTGGGGACGTAGGTTTCCGGGTGGGAGTTGATCATGGTGAGGGTTTGCCAAGCGTGCCTTCCTCTTAGCACGTTTCTCCCTTTCGTCCTGAGTTTGAGCGTCTTCAAAGCCCATGACACCTTTGGTAAAGGCTGTTCTCCAACTGGAGCGCTCGCAGGCCAGTGTTTCCCAGTTGTCAGTGTTTATCCTACACTTTTAAAGAGTTGCCTGGAGAGAGTCTTTAAACCTCTCTTGTTGACCACCAGCATTATGCTTTCCATTTTAAAGTTGGGAATAGAGTAGTTGCTTTGGAAGACGATAATCAGGCATCCGCACAACATGACCAGTCCAACGAAGTTGATGTTGAAGAATCATCGCTTTGACACTGGCGATCTTTGCTTCTTCCAGTAAACGGGCATTAGTTTGCCTGTCTTCCCGGGTGATGTGTAAAAATTTCCAGGGACACTCGGCTATGCCTCTGGGTATCCTGAAGGTGGTAGCATTTCACCACTTACCTGAGACTTAGTTGGTTTTTTCAGATTGCAATTCAGTATCTCGGGGAGACTCACTGCTCTGTGCAGCAGGTTCAGTCTGTGGCATCTCTGGCTAAGGCTGGGCAAGACCCTTGCTTGAAACCACTTGAGAGTTACGGCTGGTCACTGGAGACAATACTGAGTGGGGGCATCTGGCCCAACCCGCTGCAATCAGAGCTAAAGGATCCTGGACAGATAGCCATCCAATGTCTGTTTCAAAACCTCCAATGAAGGAGAGGTCACCATCCGAGGAAGCCCATTCCGCTGTCAAGCAGCTCCTTCACTGGAGGTTTTTTAAACAGAAGTTGGATGGCCATTTGTCAGGAATTCTTTGCTTGCGACACCTGAAATTCAGGGGGTTGAGCTAGACTAAAGGTAAAGGGACCCCTGATCATTAGGTCCAGCCATGACTGACTCTGGGGTTGCGGCGCTCATCTCGCTTTATTGGCCGAGGGATCCGGCGTATAGCTTCTGGGTCATGTGGCCAGCATGCCTAAGCCGCTTCTGGTGAACCAGAGCAGCGCACGGAAACGCCGTTTACCTTCCCGCCGGAGCGGTACCTATTTATCTACTTGCACTTTGACGTGCTTTTGAACTGGCAGGAGCAGGGACCAAGCAATGGGAGCTCACCCCGTTGCGGGGATTCGAACCGCCGACCTTCTGATTGGCAAGTCCTAGGCTCTGTGGTTTAACCCACAGCGCACCTGCGTCCCTTGAGCTAGACTAGGCATAGGCAAACTCGGCCCTCCAGATATTTTTTGGCCTACAACTCCCATGATCCCTAGCTAGCAGGACCACTGGTCACGGATGATGGGAATTGTAGTCCCAAAACATCTGGAGGGCCGAGTTTGCCTATACCTGAGCTAGACGACCCTTGGGGTCTTTTTCAACTTGACAGTTCTATGATTTTATTATTCTATGTGCCCCCCCCCCCAATCATGAGCATAGCAAAAATATGAATCCATTTCGAATGAGTCTGCTGGTTCAGGCCAGTGTTTTGAGCAAGGTCATGGAAGATGATTCATCTGGTTTGTATTGGAGCCAGAGTCCTCTCTTATCTCTCTCCACTGCCCTCCCCCTCTTGTCAAGTCTTTCCTTAAAGAGCTAATTTATCCGGGGTGAGCAAATGCGTGGAACATCTCAGCCGTACACTGCACCAGGGAGACTTCCTCTCTCGGAAATAATGGTTGGGGAAATTGCATGTAATTGAAAAGCCTTAATGACATTAGAGTAATGAGGAGGAGCGGTGGCTTGAGAAGATAAAAAGCCCCGGCTTGGCTGCTTTGCTGCCCTCATTCCAGGCCTTCTCGCCTGGGAAAGAGAGAGGACGGAGGTTTAGGAGCGCACAGAAAGATGCAGAAAGGCAGTTTGGCGTAGTGGTTGGGATGAAGAAACCCGGGAGACCTGGGTTCATATCCTGACTCGGCCATAAAGCCATAATGACCGTGGGCCAGTGTCTCCACCTATCAGGGGTGTTGTGAGGGTAAAATGGGGTTCAGGATGAGGAGAAGCATGTATACCACCTTGAGGGCAAAGTGAGATAAATGTAATAAATAAAATAAATGAAGACGGCTTGAGGGAAACAAACTAGGCACCCACACCTTACCTTTCAAAGTTGGGATGGGTGGGGGAAGGGGGATCTGGAGGAAGGACTGGTCTGTTTTGTTGTGTCCCAAGCAGGATCAGAACCCAGAATTCCCTAGGAGAAGGCCACCTTACTGTTGTAATATAAAGTTACTGACGCACACTTGTGTGTATGAAAGGGTTAACTTTGCAAGTGAGTGTGGCTTAGCAGGCTCTTGGCAGGCTCTTCTTCCCCCCTTCTCAATCTTTTTCTCTTTATGCTTGGTGGAAGAAGGAAAAATGGAGCCATGTGGCCAGTGGCTCCCAGCTACAAGAAAAACCAAAGGAACCGAATCTCTCCAAAAGGGAGATTTTACAGCCTGCTATCCCAAAGATTGCAGTATCATTTTTGTAAGGAAACTAAGTACTTTTGAAGTCGTTTGGAAACTTTCTTCTTCGTTTCACTGCCAGGAGATGGAGATTTGTTTGTTGTATCTTCTGGAAACTTTGTGAGTAAAATATTCTCTTACCTGCAAAGCTAAGTGTCTGTGATTTATTCTAGCCTAAGTATTTTTGAGGGGAACATTTGTTTAAGGGTGGGTGAGGGCTGATGTAAATCTAACCAAGTTTTAATGTGCTTGGAGCAATCACCATTGTACTTAACTCTGCTATGGAGAGTAGGACTCTCTTTTCCAAACCTCTCTCTCCAACACTTCCTCCATGCAGATGGGCTATGAGGACTCTGGGACCTCATCCTCTAAAACCTTTGTCGACCTCATTGCCACATTTTCAATATTATTTCAATGAGGACTCGTAGCTTCTTTTTTTTTTAGAAAGAAAAAGAAGAGAGGCAAAAGAAGAAAACAAACCAGAGTTGTCAGGATTCTGCACCTTCCATTACTTCTAAATTGGCTTGGATGGAAAAAAACGAATCTGAGATGTCACCAACAACCCAACATACGTCTCCGATATCCACCTTCCCAATGGAATTTTTCTTAGCTCATTCAATTCTTTTATTTTTATGTTGCCTACCATATTCATCTCTGTCATATGTGATTCTATGTACCACAATGTGTTCTAATATTAGTCTAGTGCACAACTGTTTTATAATCCATTACTTTCACTATATATTGAATTGTTATTTCTACTGGGTAACATCTATTATTTCTCGCATGGTTACAGGACCTGTTGACTTTCTTTCTTTTTTTAATATTTGAGACGGGCCATTCCTGTGTGTTTCTGAACATTCCATGA